ACATTTCAGCGGGATATTTTACCACCGTCTACCAAACGGTTTCATATCCCTATGGCATCCGTCGGTGGGCCTGGGCCGTGAGGGAGGTGCTGTGGATGAAAGCGCTGGCCGTGGCACGGCTGCGCGGCCCAGGACGCCATCGGCCTCGCAGCCCGGGCTGTGCCCGGGGGGAAGGTGTGCTAGCCTGCGTAGCCGTGTAGGAAGGGAGACACCAGAGGCTTCTTTTTGGCACATTTAATGATCCAACCCACCTTTAAGCACAGAAAGGGATATTTCTACGGGAGAACAGTTGTTTTCATAAATCTGTTGTACGTGGTAGTTGGTGACATCTGAATTTAGCTACTATGCACATTGGTTAAGTCATCAGCTGTCCCACTTTGCAGCTCTTTGACCTCATCTTTTGCTCTAGAAACAGTGTTGTGTTCTCCTGTGTATCGCCTGACAGCTGTAAGGATCCCTTAAACCGAAGTGCCCCGGGGCCTGGGACACTACTCAAACAGTGTCATGTATAGATAACTTCATGACAATTAACAAAGCATATCTACACTATTTTATAAAACTTAGCTAATAGCCCTGTTGTTTTCAGACATTTTATTTTGTTTAGAATCTGGGTGGTATATCTCATCACTGCTTTTCTTGCTGTTAAATGCAGAGCAGATGGAGGTTTTATCCTGGTGAAGATAATCTGGAGTCCACTGGACCATTAATGATCCAGGCTTCTTTCATTTAAACCCAGGCCTTACTATGAAGTCAAGTTCTAAAATTATTGCATCACATAGATTTTGGAAAGGCTAGGTTAGCCTCATATTTAATTAAAAAATTGTACTCCCCAGTATAAAATAGGTTACTAGATTAGTGTAGAAGGAAGTGAGCGTGGTATTAATAGACTGGTGTTAGCCACTACAATATGTGCTTACAATAGTGCGCAAAAAGGAACTAAGTAAGAAGACTTAGACTGCAAATAAATAAATAGGTGTCAAAATACATTTTAAAATGTCATTTCTGACAGGAACTTCCATAGGTGTTCTCAGGGTGGACATTTTCCTTTAGTAGCCCCCTGCCCTCAGGAAGCTGACATTTCTTCAACAGCAGCAAAGTTTGTCTCAGAAGTCCTGCTGTACATGCTAAATAATCTTTGTTTTCATTGGGGAGAGGGAGGGAGCAATAGAGGTTCTAGCAAACGTTAACGTATGTTTGTGTTCTGTAGTTAAACCCACCAAGTTAGAGCATAGAGTCATAGAAGAATGCAGGTTGGAAGGGACCTCAAAAGATCATCTGGTCCAACCTTTTATGGGAAAGGGAGCCTAGATCGCACTATCTAGCACTCTGTTCAGTCGCATCTTGAAAACCTCCAGCGACGGGGACTCTACCATGTCCCTGGGGAGGTTGTTCCAGCAAATGATTATTCTTACTGTAAAAAATTTCTTACATCGAGATGAAAGATGGAGAACCCATTACCAGAAGGAGGCTGGTTCATTCTCCCAGTATCATAAAGCCGTGATTGTCTAGAGGATTTGTCTCCGAGAATAATGCTGTTTTGTGCCACGGGCCCACTGCTGCCCCAGTTTGGTTCACCTCCCAACACATCTACAAAAGAAGAGTCTTTAGACCCAGCCTTAGTTCCCTAATGTAGGAGAGTCATTATAGCTAAAGAAAACCCTTCTAGAATGAATTCTTGAAGAACTACTGTTTAACGTTTTAAAGCAAATGGGATTTGAGTCAAAACAGGAGTTGCCCCAGACTATAAAAGCCTGGAAATCTGTTACGTCCTACTTGTGAATTTGCAGTGTATCCCAAAACACTAATTACTGTCATCAGAGCTGATCCAGTTCATTTATTTTGCAACAAGCTGTCTGTTTCTTATACAAGTTACCAGATAATACTTAAGAAGTACCGTAGAAAATTAAAGTCTTGACATCCCTGGACTTCAGTTCAAACCCATATACTACTTGGATTCTCCAGTAGTACTATGATAGCTTTTCTAAGAGTTATCTTACTCAGGTAGACCTTTTCCTATCCTCCAATTTTTCTGAAAGAAATGAGACCAATCATAAGACTTCAAAATACATATTTTAATGTATTTTTCAAAAATATTAGTGTATTTACACAAATTTCTCATTTTAAAAATGTTTTGTACTTGCCTATTTTAAAACATCTGGTTTTAAAAAAGTTCAGCCAGATGACATTACACAAATTCGAAAGAACATTCAGTGTAGATATGAGCAATTAAAAAAAAACAACAGAAACACATACCATTGCATTAACAGTAAGTGAGTGCACATTTTTAAGTTGCTAGCTTCCACAAATTGTTCTTCGCATAAAAATTGCTTAGTTTGTGTCTGTAACTTGTGTCCACTTTTACATTAGAATTTGCACTTCCTTTTTCTTCACAGACCCCCCCCCCCCTTTTGCTTATACAAAGGTTGCAATAAAATGCATTACAGTAGTATTTCATTTACAAAACAAATGACATTAAAACTTGTTTCTTAACCCATTGGATTGTATTTCAGTAAAACAATGTCCTTTCATGGAGGTCCAACAGAGATTCCAGGAGCTGTCTGGATGTGGAGAATTATCTCTGTCTTGAAGCAGTCCTGCCTGGAAAGGGTGACTTGAACTGCTGCGTGATGCTGTGTCGATTCCTCTTTGGAGGAATCTCACCTTCAGGTTTGGCAATTAGGATAGCATGTTAAACATTGTATTTAGTCAAAATAAATACAAATAAATTAAAAACAAATTATGGAAGAAAATTGTTTTCTCGTTGATATTGCTTGGAGGAAAGCTTAGCAATGAAGCTTGTGGCAATATCTAGATCATACATGAATGGCAGGTCCATTTATTTCAGTAGTACTCTCTCAACAAGGAAAAAACAGCTATGAACATGGCTGTAATTTTGGAGAAAGATAGTAGTGATCTTCTTTCAAACTTCGTTAGGAAGCCATTTTCCTATGGAAAAGAACATGCACAGTTAGGGACAGTTTAAAAATAACGTGTAGGAAAAACGCACCACTCTGTGCTAGTGTCGGATTAACAAAGTGCTACACCATTGTGCATAGAGGGACAGGTTTTCAGAGCTCTCCCTCCAAAAGGTGAATAGGGCTTTAAAAACAGTAGCTGAAAATAGCTGCACCTTGCTGAATGTTTGTTTTATCTCCAAGTAAAGACTCCTGCCCTCTCTGTGTAAATAGAAAATGAATGTGAACTGTATCATCTGAGCCCACATCTTAAAGGAAGATGTAAGTACTATGTTTCTGATGTAGTAATACACTTACAAATATCTTCCTTTAAGCCTCCTTATTCTACGGTGAGCCATGTATTATGACAGAATGTTGCCAGGAGTTGATACTTCTCTTAAATAAAATTGGCTCTATTTGAAAGAGGTGGAGGGAGAAACCTTTACAACAAATCTGATGCATCAAGGGTCCATGACTCACTATCACCTTTTTTTACTGTTACCAGACAGAGAAAGATCAAAACAAGCAAAAAGAGAAAAAAGGAAAAGAAAGACACCAGAAAACAAGTGGGGGAAAAGTAATAGCAAATAGGAAATATAAGAGAAGTGGGACGAGAGAGGGGTGGAAAGAGAAAGGAACATTTACATATAGGTGAAGGAAAAAAGTACCAGGGAAATAACTGACTCTCATATCATTGATTCTCAGCTTCCCGTAAGGTATTGGCGTGATGAAATTCTGCGAAGCAGAAGGGACCTCCCCTCCACTGACAGAAGGGAATTTCAGCAGCTTGGCAAAATAATCCACATACTGACAAATGCTTTTCTCAGCATTGACCATTGATGTATGGAAGTTCTAGGATTATCTCGGTCCAAACAAACAGAAAAGATTTAACCTCAATTGCACTTACCTGTAAATATGTTTAAGTAAAGCTGATTTGGGGATTAAATAATGGCTTTCTTGAAATCCACAGCAAAACTACTGAACTTAGCTGTGAGGATCACACCTGCGTGTTCTTCCCTTTACTTTGAACTTCAGTGTTTTTGGACCAACTCCTCTATGGAGGCAAAATTAGGATGCCACTTAACTTTAGACTTAATAATGGGAAATGTAATGGCATGCATAGTTTAACCTGCTTTGAGCAGGAGGCTGGACCGGATGATTTCGTAAGGTCCCTCTCAACCTGAATTATCGTATGATCCTATGATTCAAGACTAACTCTAGGGTTTCTACTGTTACAGTTAGAGAAAGTGCCTTTTAAAAAAGAAAGTTGTCTTTTAGCATTGTTCTATTTAAAGCACTGTAAGTCTCAAGGAGACATTCCAGACATCAAATATTAAACCACCAAATAAAACACTGAATAAAATGATTTTGACAGTGTCTGAAACAATAGTTTTCCGTAATTAAACAAAATCTCCTAATCTAGACTTTGGTGGAAAATGAGAAACTTACCCAGCCACCATTTGCATCTATCCATTCGGCTTTGTTGTTTATTATGTACTCTGTGATGAAATAAGAAATCTGCTCCTTCTCCTCTCCAGTCAGCTGAACTCCATGCTCTTGAAGCTTCTTCGTGAGAAGGCCTCCAAACGTAAATATGGTCATAATTCGTCCCCAGTTAGTATTTCCATCAGCAAATTTTTCTTCCATGACACCATTGAAAATTTTCTTGGCAACAGCTACAGAGGTAATATCAATCTTGTCCAAGAATGGTCTGAGAGCCTCCTCGGTTTGATCTTGCAGTGAAGATGCAATGTTTCGCAAGACATGAGCAACCCTGGTTTGGGCTGGTCCAAGATGTGATTCCTGAAGCACATACTGCAGATAATCTTGAGCTAAGTAATAAACGTAATAGAACTCAGCAGTTTCCATTTAGAACAAAATGCGGAGAGCAGTGCACTGCTCTTAATCAGGATCAGTAATGAGCAGCCATAGGACATGCACACAGCTTTGTATCTTCTGGTTTTGATGGATTTTTTTTGCTTTTACCACAGAAGTTCCTGTAAAAACCTAGTGACTTAATGATTGTGTGGGTTGTGGAATATGTCACAGCGGAAATGAAAGAAAAAGCGTCTGCTCAAGGGGAGAAAACACGTCTTCCTGAGTGATTTATTATTTCTCTAAATAGTATGATTTCAAAACTAAAATCTACCAGCTTTTATCACATTCTTTAGCAGTATAAATTGGCATTTCCTAGGGACTTTTGCCGTGAAACACTAGCAAAGATTTGGCATTTGGCTTACAAACTGCTGAGAATGGCGTACGCTAGGCATTCAGCTTGAAAAAACATGCCTAAAAAGTGTATGCTATAGGAGCACGCAGCCCGCAGCGCCCCCCCCCCGCCCCCATCTCTTCATTGCCAGGGGTTAAGGCTGAAGTCTGTCTTGCAGGTTAATGGGTTATTTCTGGTTCACAGCTTTTTGAAGAAACTGGTAGACATTTCCAACAGAATGGAAGAATGGATAAACTTTCTTCGGCACTCAGGGAGCTTTACATAACTGCAAAAAGTGGGAACAACAACAGTGGTACAAGTAGGGATGGAAAAAGGGGAAAGCCAGCTTTATAGCATTATCCCCTGTTCCAAACTTTCCCACACTCTCTCTGTGAGTGCTCTTCAAGGTCCTTCTTTGAAGATTTGAATGAGTAGCTTCAAAGATTTCTTTCCCCCACGGGGAGTTCTGCTGTAAAAGACATTATGAGTATAAAAGACAATGCTAATGCAGTCAGCATGTCAGAACATGGGATGGGATGGAGAATATGGAGCCAAGCTAGTGATGTGTGATACTGTCTGAATCTTTCATGACAGGTAACAAAGAAGTATCATGATACGTATAACAACTGCTCTTAGATTCAAATTTTCTGTCAAGCAGTTATT